AAAAGAAGTAAATGTTAGGTAATGCTGTTACACAACACACTTTGAAAAGTGAGCTTCAAAACAAGAAGAAGAAGAAGAGCCGTAATGCGAGGACAACATTCCTTTAAATACACAGGAAGCGTCGGGGAGTTTGAAAACAGAGTAGGGACACGAGTGTTTGAATATGTGACCTTTTTTTAAAACAAGTGATATTAATGTTGCCGGAGTAAAAACAATTCTATTTGTAAGAAAATGTGCTTAAATTTTGTAAAATGCTGCCGTCATCGCTTTGAAAATGAGTTAAAATCTTAAGCGTCAAGTTGATAAAAAGGACATTTCTAGGTCACAGTCAGATCTCAGTATGTTAGAATATGTCTTACATTGATTAAAGGCAATAAAAATCCTTCAATAAGATCTTAATTGCAAGTTCTAATATCTTGAAGACACTGAAGGACACAAACCAGTCACTTAAAAACCACCTTAAACAGAATTGTAGCATTGATTCCCTTTTATTGAAGATATTTTGACAAATAGGATTAGGTTTTTATGTATTTTTGCAGTAGCAGAAAAAATTGGATTGAGAAAAAAAAAGTGATGGGATGAATCATTCTGAAGCACAGTCAGCTGTCACTCCTGCTGCGCTGAATAACTAGAATTCCAGGCGTCAGTCAGCAGCGTCACAGCGCCACAGCGCCGCGTCATCCGCTGCACAAACACAGAAGCAGAAACGCCGGAGAGTCTCGTAAAGCTGACCTGCTGTCACGTCCCCGTCCTCCCCACTTCTTCCAGGTCTTCTTTGCAGAGGACGTGGGCTCCAACAAGGGCGCCATCATCGGGCTGATGGTCGGGGGCGTCGTCATAGCGACCGTGATCGTTATCACGCTGGTGATGCTGAGGAAGAAGCAGTACACCTCCATCCACCACGGAGTCATCGAGGTGAGAAACAGCTGACCTGTGTGTGTGTACAAGCTGTTCTATAAGGCAGTCCATCTGGTGTGCGTGTGTGTGTGTGGTGTGTGTGTGTGTGGTGGGGGGGTGTTAATGCTGTTTGTGCACGTGTCAGTGCAAGCTGTTTCCCTGTACATCCTTTATGCATGTGTGTATGTTAATGTCACAGCCTTAATGTTGCTGAACACACAAAGTCTATCTACATATTTATAAATGCATCTCCTGCTTTCCTCGTCAGTGCATCATCTTGAAGCATATCCAATCTTTGATCAGCTGTTTAACCCGTTAAAGATTCTTTTAAAAGGAGACCCATTTATTTATTTTTCTGTAATAAACGGGAACATAAAGGTTTTCGTTGTTACATTACTTCTTGGAACAATCACAAAATCCCCTAAAGCATCAAGAACCTCTTAAAGGGACAGATCGCCTTTTCTGCGTGTCTCTCGACCCCAGAGCGTACGTCTTAACGCCCCTCCTCCCTTTCTGTCCTGCTCCCTCCAGGTGGATGCCGCCGTCACCCCCGAGGAGCGCCACCTGTCCAAGATGCAGCAGAACGGCTACGAGAACCCCACCTACAAGTTCTTTGAGCAGATGCAGTAACTGAGGAGAATGTGTCTCTCTCTCTCACACACACACACACACACACACACACACATCTCACCCCTTCCCCCCCCCCCCCCTCTTCCTCCCTGACGATTCTCCAAAAATGCAGTGTGTTGTTGAAATAGTCGGTTACAGAGCGACTGTAGCGGAGGTTTTTTTTTTTTTTTTTTCTTCCTTGCCTGGGCCGGTTTGCACCCAAGTTTGTTCGCTTGAATTGGAGCGAGACGCCTCTTCTAATTAAAGAACGCCGTCTTTAAATGAGTCGCTCCATCTGCGCCTGCTGGTGCAGAGAGAGAGAGGGGAAAAATAAATAAAAAAAAGGCTCCGCCCAGTGCATCGAAACAAACCCACACTCCTCAGGAGGGGGGGGAAAGATCGGCTTCTCTCTCTCCACGCTGCTTCAGGGTCGGTATAGTCGGGTTTATGTGAGTTGGGGTGTGTAGGCAAATCTGACGTCTGATCAGCGGGATTTAAGGGAGGCTTAGCCGGGCTTTATTTCCAAAAAACAAATCATCTCACGCTGAATTTCTTTCCATCACGTTCTTTATAGTGAAAGAAAAGTGAGACGATTTGTATAAATGAAGCCCGGTATTTCCCCCACGATCTGCACCACTACTGCACTCCCATCGACAGTCTACACTGGAGTACAACAAGCCTCCTCCTCCCTCCTCCTCCTCCTTCCCTCTCTCCTTCCACCTTCTTTTCTTTACGACAGCTGGGCTGTGCTACGTCACACACGGCTCTTACAGATATCCAGAGATGATAAACCATGTTGATGATGACACTATGTATTCTGAATGAGCTGTTTTCTTTTTCTCGTTTTCTTTTTTTTCTCGCTTAAGTTTCCAAGTTTTGTTTTTCAAAAAAGAACGAAAACCAGGTTTAAAAAAAATCACAAAAAAAACACAACAACTGATGTAAAGTCCTTTTTTTAAATTGTGTGTAATGTCAACTGAAGTAATGCCGAAGTCTTAGCTGTTCTTATGTAGTGCATGACAACAAAGACGAAAACAGGATTTGGAGAAAAAAAAGACAAAAAAAGATCTTCTCGCTGCTCTCTCTCTCTCTCTCTCTCTCTTTCTCTCTCCTCTCTCTCTCTCTCTCTCTCTCTCTCTCTCTCTCTCTCTCTCTCTCTCACGTTATAGATTGTCATTCTAGCAAGATTGTACATTTAGTATCTTCTCGTGACCACGTGAACTCAAACGATGATTGAAAAAATATATATGAATCTAGATGAACGGGCTCTGCTTTGATATGATGTAAAATACACATTTAAAAGAGATCTGTGATTTTGGATTTAAGTGTGTTCCATGTTTCTTTCCTTCTTAATTTTTTTTTTTTTTAAAAAGCTCTGTTTGTATGTTGTTCTCAATCACTGCCCCTCCACTCCTCCTTATTTTATTTTCTGTTCGCTTCATGTGACCGTGTTCTTCAGAGAGGGCATGACGTGGGCGTGAAGGTTACACAAAGTGGGAAGAGAAACTGGAAAAAATAAGAGAGGGGAGGGGTTAGGATTATCTGTGTGTGTGCGTGTTTTGTCATTTTCAGTCTGGTGTTTTGTCCAGTTGTACGCCGAAATCGTCTTCTTTTTTTTTTTTGTAATCACTTTGCTGTCTGCTGATAGACCTGAGGGGGGGGGAGAGGGGAGACGAGGAGGAGGAGGAAGGTGGGCGAGATGGAGAGGAAATGACTTGCAGTTCCGGATGGATAGCCAGCCAGGCAGTCAGTCTGTGTGTATATATAATGGATTTCCACTCCCCTCCCTCCTTCCCCTCCGCCGCCTCTCCTTTCCCTCCAGGCATGCTCACCTCTCTGCCGTCGACGCACACACGACTCCTCGGAGGCAGAGCAACGTAGTCTGTATATAGACGATATGGAGTTTGGGCTGTGAAAGCTAACAGTAAACGCCCTGCAGTGTGATTTGAAAGATATTTGCAGGAACAGCAGGTGAAATGTACATATGGAGGCTGCAGTGGGGTGGGTCCTTGGTTTTCAGAGGGTGCTCATTAGACGCCCAGCAGAGGGCAGTAGAGTAGAAGAGGAAGCAGGATTTTCTTTCTATCATATTTTTTTTTTTTTCACGTGGATTATATATTGATTTTTTTTGTTTTTGTTTTCCACTGTGTAATATTGTGCAGGCCATTTGCATTGACTGGGAAAACGCTTTCTACACTGTATTCCATAATAAAGTTTTGAATGTACATACAGATGCTGTTTGAGGTGCATTATTTTAGTTCATACATGCCATCTCCAAAAAAAACCTCCTCTGGTGCTTGATTCATGTTATATCTTGACCAAAGCACAGGGGATGTTTATAAAAGGTGGAAACAAACAGAAAACTGCTGGACTGGAGCCAACAGGAAGTGTAGGTAGTGCTTCCTGTGTGCACCCCAAGTACAGAGGCTACAGACGGCCTGCTTTCAAACCTGACCTGTGGCTCCTTTCCCCTGTGTAGTCCCCCAATCTCTCTCTCCTTGATTTCTTACTCTAGAAAGGGTATCACTAAAAAAAAGAAAGCAAAAGAAGATCCGCACACCAAGAAGCTCCCGTTTGGAGGATTTAATAATAATTAAATGTATTATAATTTAATAATTAACAATAATTCATTAAAATGGGAGCTTTCAGGTATGACAATATTTTTTGCTTGTATCTATTTGTGTTTCTTGGAACCTGCAACTACTGAGGGATGTGTGTGTATTTTTGGATTTTAATAAAGGTATAAAAAAAGCCCAAACAAACCTTAAAAAAAAAAAATAAGATAAATAAAAAATAGTACATTAATATCTGAAAGTGAATAAACATTTTAGGTGGATTAACATCCACACTGACACATTTTATTATTATTATTATTATTATTACCTGCACCTACTGAGGGACGTGTGTATTTTTGGATTTTAATAAAGGTATAAAAAAAGCCCAAACAAACCTTAAAAAAATAAATTAAAATAAAAACAGTAGATTAATATCTGAAAGTGAATAAATGTTTACGGTGGATAACATCCACGCTGATACATTTTATTATTATTATTATTATTACCTGCACCTTCTGAGTGATGTGTGTATTTTTGGATTTTAATAAAGGTATAAAAATGCCCAAACAAACCTTAAAAAATAAAAATAAATACAAAAATAATGGATTAATATCTGAAAGTGGATAAAGTCCACACTGATACATTTTACTATTATTATTATTATTATTACTATTATTATTATACTATTTTACTAAATTAAATAAACTTGAATGTCTTTTTGAAAAATAAAGTGATGTAGTGCAGTCTAAGTGAATAAATAAACTATAAAAATAAGCTTACTACACTTAATTTTCTGGATTTATATTCATAATAATGACGTCACTTGACTGTTTTCTAAAGCGAGTTCAACAAATGGACACACAGCGCCATCTGCTGGATGAGCACGGGTAGTAACTAAGCAACCGGACATGCGCAAAGGAGGCGCCCACCACCACCATGACTTCCGGTGAAGCCTCCTGAGGTCACAGCTAATACCCACAATCCACCGCGGTGCGCTCCACATTCTGTGATCCTGGTGTCAAACCCAAGGTGAGTGCTCTCACAAACTCTCCTTTCACGCGTCCCAAAAAGCTGATTTACGTGATTATAAATGTTTACTGAAGTCTGTGGCGGCTGCTACGTCAGCGCAAAGAAAGAAAACATTGTTAGAAAAGGTTTATTTTAAAGATAGCTTAGCATGTTAGCAACGAGCAAAACGACACGGACTGCCTTTGAGTTCAGGTGAAGGTGAGCTCTGTTTGTCCGTGCAGGTAACATTTGGATGATTAATAATGAGTGCACGTTTTGTCACGTTCATATCTAATGTCAGGATCATGCTGGTGAAAGTTATTTCATGAGTTTTTAATTGCAAAGCTTGTAACCAGTGCAGGCCTTCATCATGTTGGTGAAAACTGGATTTATATTTAACTTTATTTATTTATTTTAAATTAAAAAATACTTTTGAACACTTCTAAGTCTAATATTTCTGATAAATAAATATAAAATAAATAGAAGTAAGTAGTGTAAGAGAAGAAAGAGTGCAGGGAGCAGAAGTGGTGACAGGCGGGACGTTTTTAAATGTTTTAAAATACATGTGGAGAGAGAAGAGGAGTGTTTGTGAAACAATCTGCATTTAATAATACAGTGTGAACACAAAATATTCTTTTCTGATCAGAGCATGCACACATATCTATACAGAGAGGACTTCAAGTATACCTCCAACATGCACACACATCTATACAGAGAGGACTTCAACATGCACACATATCTATACAGAGAAGACTTCAACATGCACACATATCTATACAGAGAAGACTTCAACATGCACACATATCTATACAGAGAGGACTTCAACATGCACACATATCTATACAGAGAGGACTTCAACATGCACACATATCTATACAGAGAAGACTTCAACATGCACACATATCTATACAGAGAGGACTTCAACATGCACACACATCTATACAGAGAGGACTTCAACATGCACACACATCTATACAGAGAGGACTTCAACATGCACACATATCTATACAGAGAGGACTTCAACATGCACACACATCTATACAGAGAGGACTTCAACATGCACACACATCTATACAGAGAGGACTTCAACATGCACACACATCTATACAGAGAGGACTTCAACTAGAGCTCCAACATGCACACATATCTATACAGAGAAGACTTCAACATGCACACACATCTATACAGAGAGGACTTCAACTAGAGCTCCAACATGCACACATATCTATACAGAGAAGACTTCAACATGCACACACATCTATACAGAGAGGACTTCAACATGCACACACACATCTATACAGAGAGGACTTCAACATGCACACACATCTATACAGAGAGGACTTCAACATGCACACATATCTATAGAGAGAGGACTTCAACATGCACACATATCTATACAGAGAGGACTTCAACATGCACACATATCTATACAGAGAGGACTTCAACATGCACACACATCTATACAGAGAGGATTTCTAGCACAGTGGAAAATAAACATTTTAATGGACTAGGGTGAAAGCTAACTAAGTACATAAAGATGTCAGTAAATGTAAAAGTAGGTTTTGTGTCCCAAACAATTCAGCCTACTTCACAAAAGAAGAAGTGTATTTCTTGCACTGGTTATTTTCTTAAAAAGAATAATCTTTACCTCATGAATGTTCAGTGGAAGTAACTGATGTTAACTTGAGCTAGGAAACACTGAGGTTACTATCATCGACTGTAACAAGGTGGCTTAAATACAACAGATAACTGATCCGTGCAGCACGTTACCTCTGCGTCTTCTTCATGTTTTCCTCCTGTCATCACGGTCATTTCTAAACGTGATATTAATCGGTACGGTCGGTGTCTCCTGCCCTCGTCCTCCACAACGATCCGCTGTGTTGTGATGCGCCGCGTCATGCAGGAGACAAGAAAATAGAGCCTTTTTAAATATGTGGTAGTTGTGTTTTCATGGCTTCTTTTGTATCATGACTAAATGATATTAGATAAATAATAGTTAGTGATATTTAAACGCATTTTTCCTTCCCTGCATGTCACCTTGTAGGAATGCTCTATTAAGACTTAAATCATTAATTCATTTGATGCATATTGAGATCAGGATTTTACAACATCTGCATCCCATGCACTCTTAACACTGTGAAAAACTACCAGGAAATAAGTTTGGGGGTGGGCTCTTTGTAAACATCTGATTTAGTACTTAAAAAATGAAGTTATTTTTCGACAAAGCTATATTTCATTAGTTTGAAGTTTATTTCATGGTAAATATGTTGTTTGTGTCATGATGGGAGACTATCAGTGAGTGAGGCAGACTCACTCGCAGCATGTCGTCTTCATCCTCACGTTGTCTTCCTTCCTCCGACAGATGGCTCTTCATCGGTTATACCACTTGTCCTCCCTGCTGCGCTCTGCCGTGAGCCTGACTCTGCGCAGGAACATCGGCATCTCCGCTGTCCTCTTCAACAAGGGCAAGGATCTGGACCCCATCCAGAAGCTGTTCCTGGACAAGATCCGGGACTACAGCAACAAGAGCAAGTGAGTTGATAACGCGCAGCTCCCTCTCAGATACAACTTGCTGAATGTTTATTGTAATGGATGTATCAGCTAAGAGCTTGGCAGCTTAACTGAAGGCATGTTTTACCTGTGAGATTACACGTTTTGATTGTGGAGACTCTGGTTGTTGGTGAGCTGAGTCAGTCTCTCCATACACTGTAAGAAGTGAACTGTTAATCTTTGATTTTTTGTCACATGTGGGCTCTCTCACATTTTTCAATATCGTTTTAAATATCTGTTAACCTTGGGAATATTTTCAAAGCTTCTTTTTCTTCCCTTTCATGACGTTTCCTGTATGAACTTTTATTTGACTGGCGTCTTGTCTCCTGCAGGAGCTCTGGCGGCATCGTGGAAGCGGGCCCTGCTTACCAGAAGAACCTGTCTGAGGAGGTGGTCAAACTGCAGAGGCTGTACGGAGGAGGAGATATGACCAAGTTCCCCGAAATCAAATTCACAGGTGAGTTTGTTCTCTCTGTGCTGTCAGGGGCATGTCATCTCCTCAGAAGTGTTTACATACAACGGCAACAAAAATAGAAGTCCCCATAGAGAACATTAGGTCACTTTTTCAGATTTATTTATCTCCCATGCGCTTTAGTAGTGATGCACATTTAGTTTTCTGAATGCTTCTGTGCTCATCTATCATTGAAATAAAGGAGATGATGTTGGAAATCTTCTTCTTAATGTATACCTTCCCAATCAATTGATTTAGGGCATCAATCTTACACTGCTGCTCCCCCGTTGGGCTCCCGCAGTTCCCATCCTCCCCTCTCGTTTACTGGCTGTAATATTTAGTTTACCGCAACACGCTGTGATCGTCGCCGTCGTCTCGGTTTAAGATTATTTTCTCATTCTGTTTTAAAATCACTTTTAAGTTTCTCTGCGTCACTGCTGGATGATGCTCAGACTGCCGTTTTAAGCTCCCCCTTCTGTGTATCGTGTTTGGAGGTAGTAACAGCGGCGTGATGGTATCAGAGGAGCCAGCAGGGGAGCGCTGTGTGTGTGCGGAGCTCCAGCTGAAAACCAAATGTGAATTTAGACACCAGTATTACACCCTCACAGGATCAATAGTAATTCTCTAAGACATGAAGAGGGCTGAGTTTTCTTACAGCACTTGATTCTCACATGATTCCTTTTCTCTGTCTGTTTTGTTTCAGAGCCCAAGTTTGAAGAAGGCTCCAAGTGAACGCTGTCCATGTTGTAAATCTCCTCCACGTCACCATCAATATGTTGTATCAATAAGTGGATTGAGCCGTGATCCACTGGTTGTCAATTAAAAGTCCTTTCTGTTCAAAAATGCAAGAGAATCATTGTTGTTATTTCACGAGAAGGTTCTTAAGAATAGATCTTTATTGGCATTGCTGTTTTGACTTGTGACCCCACATGAGTCTGGGGACCGCAGACATCCAAAACACAAACAGCTTATTCAATCAATCAATCATTATTTGTGTATTTAATTCAAAGTAAGTGTTACCTGGAGATGCTTTACAAAAGTAACACGCAGGAAGGATTTCTCCTTTTTGTATTCCTCGCGATCCTGTCGTCCACACTTCCTTGTTGCTGAGGTGGAGGTCGGAGCAGGTCGTGCATGAATGAGGACGGCGGTGGTTGTTGGGGGGACGGCGAAATGATTATTTACAACAATCGTGTGAAATATAGTTCATGTGCTGTAAAAGATGTCACAAAGTGGAAATGGTCTGCCCATACTTTTGTTTCTGATTGGACTGAAGTCATGTTGGTACAATCATTTGACCTGTGTTCTGCTGTCTCAGGTGAACTATATTTCACAGCAGGTATAAAACAATTTGCAGCAAGTGAGACATTTTTACAGTTATTTTCATGTTTTTGTGTTTCATGAAGTATTTTTGATGTATTTTTGATGTGTACATTATTGGACTAACTCTGTTTTTTATATCAAACATAAAACAGAATGTGTTCATCTAACTGACTAAATGATCATAGAGGGGGTGGGACATGGTTGATTGACGGACAGACAGTCACCATGGTTACTCACTGAACGAGAGGAGAAAGAGCAGCTGACTGACATCACTTCAAGCATCATGCAGATAAATAAATGATTGTTGGTGTAACCTTAAACTAGTTTGAAAGGAAAGCTCACTCTCTCCTCTCTTGATTGGTTGTTGTTTGCACTCTGTCATTAATTAATTAGATTGAATTCACCTGCCTACTCCTGATTTAAGACTGCACTCCCTTACACTCATGTTTTCATCCTCACATGGGGCGGCAGTTCAGCAATGGTAAGGTGGCTTTTACTCCTGTTTTAGTTACTATCAGTCCATTTTAATTTGTACTAAGCACTTTATTTATCTTTATTTCCTTTCAGAAAGTAATTTGATGTGTCTAATTTAGTCTCCTTAGTGACGTTACTGAGTGTTTACGGCTCATTAAAATTGGATATGTTGTTTTAGTTTAAAGTTAAGAGAAAGTTGTTGTTTGAACTCAAGATTCTGGAGTTTGTTTGTACAGGTGTGTGCAGGTAAAATGCATTGATTTTAAGCTTTACCACTAACCACCAGAGGGCGGCCTTTCTACATAAAGTGATGTATAAACGGTAAATGCATTTATTTTCAACCTATAACTTTAATTACTGACAGTTAATTTTGTAAGTCATTAAAGTAATTGCATATTTAAGATCATCATTGCTAAATTATTTGTATGAAAGCTGCATTTTTACTTTAGACCTTTTCTGATTGGGTTTAATTTTAGTTCTCAAATTTACGTTTTAATCAATTTAATTTTACCACAAACCTTTTTATTTAATTGAAAATATCAATTTGATAGGGATTCAAATATTTGATAAGTGTACATTTTACAGCTAGTTTAGATTAATGAGTTAAAATGAAACATTTACAATTTAAAAAGGTTGTTTTAAAATTCTTCTTCCTTGTCTTGATTTTATTAACTTTCACATGCTCATAACGCTTCTTCACCTACATTATGTTCTCATTAACATTCAAAGATTATATTTAGTTCATTGATAATATCACAGGTCATTTACAAGTCTGAAAATAATATATATATCTAGCATTTTCTTTTCCCCAGCAAAGCTCGATGAGGTTAAAGGTAAAGAAACTTGTAAAACTTATAAGATAAATCTGTTGAGATGTTTAAGACCTTATACTTAATGTTTCTATATTATATTCTACATTTAAACTTTGAATTGAAGATTGATTCATCCAAAAGCCTTAAAGTGAAGTTAGACACATAATTTCCAGTGAATGATGAAACCCAGGTTTATTCTAATCATCATGATGTTGTATAATCACAAACATTTTCAGAGTTTTATTAACTTGATGAACTAAAATGTGTTTTTCTTCTGACATGAACTCCATCAACGTCTTCCAGGAGGATCCCCCGTCGGTGGCCGTCTTCCTGCTCAGGTTGGAGACTCAAAGGTTTGTTAAAGTTTTATGTTCCAGGTTTTAGGTGTTATAGATGTTTAGACTCAGTTATTTTAATCATTTGATTTCATTGCTTTTAATCAACTAAAACTATGTTTTTTATAATCTTTAGGTATCGTTTGACAACAGGTAAGTAATGGTTGATTGATGGACAGACAGTCACCTGCCTGCTACTCACTGAACGAGAGGAGAAAGAGCAGCTGACTGACATCACTTCAAGCATCATGCATATAAATAAATGTATGAAAAGAAATGATTGTTGGTGTAACGTGGTTTAGCTTAATAATAGGCATCATTTGTAACTGGTCTTAGTTTAAAAATCCTTAAATGAGTTTGAAAGGAAAGCTATGTGTAGTAAAGATCATTATTTGTTTACTTTCACTTCCTCTCTTTTCCTACTGGATCTCCTTTAGTACACTTCCTGGTTTCTCACTCTCCTCTTGATTGGTTGTTGTTTGCACTCTGTCACTAATTAATTAGATTGAATTCACCTGCCTACTCCTGATTTAAGACTGCACTCCCTGACACTCATGTTTTCATCCTCACATGGGGCGGCAGTTCAGTGATGGTAAGGTGGCTTTTTACTCCTGTTTTAGTTACTATCTAGTCTGTTTCAATTTGTCCCAAGTACTTTATTTATCTTTATTTCCTTTCAGAAAGTAATTCAATGCGCCTAATTTAGTCTCCTTAGTGACATTACTTAGTGCTTACGGCTCATTAAAATCAGATATGTTGTTTTAGTTTAAAGTTCAGAGAAAGTTGTTGTTTGAACTTCTAATTCTGGATTTTCTTGTTTGTTTGTACAGGTGTGTGCAGGTAAAATGCATTGATTTTAAACTTTACCACTAACCACCAGAGGGCGCCCTTTCTACATGAAGTGATATATAAACGGTAAATGCTTTTATTTTCAACCTATAACTTAAATTACTGACAGTTAATTTTGTAAGTCATTAAAGTAATTGCATATTTAAGATCATCATTGCTAAATTATTTGTATGAAAGCTGCATTTTTACTTTAGACCTTTTCTGATTGGGTTTAATTTAACTTTTCAAACTTTCTTTAATTTTACCACAAACCTTTTTATTTAATTGAAATTATCAATTTGAAGGATTCAAATATTTGATAAGTGTACATTTTACAGCTAGTTTAGATTAATGAGTTAAAATGAAACATTTACAATTCTAAAAGGTTGTTTTAAAATTCTTCTTCCTTGCCTTGATTTTATTAACTTTACTGTGCTCATAACTCTTCTTCACCTACATTATGTTCTCGATTACCATTCAAAGATAATATTAAGTTAATTGATAATATCACAGATTGATTACAACTCTGAATATATAATACATGTATGTATAGAGCATTATCTTTCCCCAAAGCTCGATGAGGTTAAAGGTAAACAAACTTGTAAAATTTAGATGTTTAAGATCTTATACTAAATGTTTCTATATTATATTCTACATTTAAACTTTAAATTGAAGTTTGATTCATCCAAAAGCCTTAAAGTGAAGTTAAACACAGATAATTTACAGTGAATGATAAAACCCAGGTTTATTCCAATCATCATGATGTTGTATAATCACAAACATTTTCAGAGTTTTAAGTTGATGAAGTAAAATGTGTTTTTCTTCTCCATGAACTCCATCAACGTCTTCCAGGAGGATCCCTCGTCGGTGGCCGTCTTCCTGCTCAGGTTGGAGACTCAAAGGTTTGTTAATGTTGTTTAATTATGTTCCAGGTTTTAGGTCTTATAGATGTTTAGACTCAGTTATTTTAATCATTTGACTTCATCCTTTTTTAATCAGCTAAAACATTTTTTTTTATAATCCTTAGGTATCGTTTGCCAACAGGTAAGCATTCAAATATTTCTAATCTAATGTTAGCTACAAAGTGTTATCAGTTTTTTGTATATTTTTAAGACCTGGAACATAATGAAACAACATTAATAAAGATTTGAGCTCCTACCCAATGGGGCTGGAGGATAGTGGGATGGAAGGAGACTGGATGGATGGATGGATGGATGGCTGTAACATGTGCAAAAAACACAGAGGTTATGATGCGTGTTCAATGTGTTATTGTAATAAAACTACTGCTGTGTCCATTCTGCATCACAGTGACTTGTGTACCTGGGGAGGAGAGATATGTTACATCTGTGATTAGGTTCAGCTTTGTGCTGTAGTGCCTTAGTCCTTAGTGTTGTGGGTTATAGTTCAGCTGTGTTTTCTTTAGTTGTAGTAGTTGGGGATTTGCACATGGCACTTTTATTGTGTTTTACATAAAGGACCATACAAAGCCAGGTGAGCACGGCACTACATATCCTGATCACACATGACAGGTAAAAATCGGCTATTAACCTGCACCAACTTGTCACTACAGTTTTGGAGTCCTCATGATTGGCATACAAGATGACTGACAGACTTTCTGACCCACACACTTAAATATAACAGATACCACCTTGTGGTGCTATTTGGTACTACTACTAATATATTGTGACTGTTCCATATTCCACCATGGTGAAAAGAAGGCTGCAGACAGCCGAAGAAGCAACCAACCTGCAATTTTACTGCTACACAGACTTAATGAAAAGTTAGGAGATACACTCAAGGGAAGAGATAATGTTCAGCATACAGATATACATATCAGCAAACAGACTACAAACTGAAAAACAAAACCTACTATACAGTGTTACAGTAAAAGAATACTGTTGATCTATTTTCCTAGTTTTTCCTTGCTTTTCACATGTTCCTCAGAGAAACTGAAAGTAGAATTCTGCTGTGAATTGGACTATTTTTCTATAAAAGCAGGTAAGAATTGTAACATGTGGCAAAACCTGAACCACATAAGCCAGATAAATATCAGGAACAGTAGAGTAAACAAAACACATGAACAGAGGAATGCAGATTTTGACTTTTAACACTTCTGCTTGCTGTTTTTTTTTTTTTCATATTACAAACTGATTGCCTACTTCAAGTCTGGTAGTGTGGTAGGAGTTTGTCTGACGAGCCAGATGTGATTTAAAGTTTTACAGTCAGTGTCAGACGCAACTACAGTGTCATGGTTGTCAGAGTCAGGCACAGGGTCAGTGTCATGAAGCATGTCATGGTACATGTCTGCAGCAGTGACTTCAATCATTGTCCACGGTTCAGGGTCAAATCAGGGTCACGCTGCTCCTCAGTCACCAGAATGTTGCGCCTGTTGGAGGAAGAAGAGTCAAGTGTGGAGAGGTTTTCAGTTCACTACATGAAAGACACCAGCATGAGTACTAGTGTCCAGTTGAGACAGTGTGTAGTTTACTTCATCCAGCTTCTGACTAACACGTAGTGGGTCTCTGAACAGGGGTGCAAGTTTAGCTGTAAAGTTAGATTGTGTGTGAGGCCTGGGGTGGGATTTTACTCTAAAAAGGTCACCCACAGCAAAGCTAGCCTGATGACGTCATGGTATGTTTTTGTGTGTTATGACTGTGATCAAGAGCTGCTGTGGCATGGTCATGTGCTTCCTTCAGGGAGGCTCTGAGAGTCTCTGGGTAGAGGATGCTGGCTCATCCACAGCGTCACAGGATGGTTGTGTTATGAGGTCGAGTGGTGTGTCCAGCTCTCGTCCATACAGTATCATTGAAGGGCTGAGTCCAGTGCTGTCGTGGGGGGGGGTGGGGCTGTACAGAGTGCAAAGCAGATCTGGGGAAGAAACTTGTCCCATGATGTGTGCTTGTCACCAACATAAGCTTGTATTGTAGTTTTTAGAGTTCGATTAACATGTTTTCTGGCATTTGTTTGTGGGTGGTGTGCTGAGTCTGTGCACAGTCCCAAGGGTTGAACCAAGATGCTCAAACAACCTAGTCACAAAAGGCGTACCTCTGTCAGACATAAGGTAAGTCGGGGCACCATGCCTGGACAAACTTTGAGGCTGCTACTTGCGCTGTTGCTTCTCTGACTGCACACACCTCAATCCATTTGGAAAAATAGTCAACAGAGACTAGCAAGTAGGCATTTCTGGATGCAGTGTGGGTGAAAGGTCCAAGAAGATCAACTCCTGTGTAGTCCCAGGGCTTCTGAGGCAAGATGGGAACCATGAGACCAGCGGTTTTCTCTGACACGGCTTGGTGAGCTGAACAG